TGAAGTGCAACTACACTTTCACATTTGCAAAAAGTGTAACATAAGGTATTTATGAAAAAATATTTTAATTATAAAATGTTTGTTGAAATAAAACGGTTACACTAAAAAGTCATGACTAACTCCCTGAAAGCACATACAGCCCAATGCTTATTTTAAAACCCAAATTATCATGCCATGCCAAAAATACTGAAATATTTTTTGTACTTTGGCATCAACCTTGAATCTCTGATTTTCCCTACTCTGTATTCACTAATAAAGAGCCATATGACTTTCAGTTAAATAATCTAATTCTCTTCTTTGTTCTCTTTTCAGATGTTGTTTTCCATATTTTGATTGACAGATACTTCTAGATATTTCCAAAAAGTAAATATAATCAATGGAATATCCAGCAGCAGACAAAGTTTTCTAATGATATATAATTTTGTGAGGGTTAAGTCATATTTTTTTTTTTCTATAACCACAGATTTGGGGGCATGTCACAGATATGTAAATTCCTCCATTCACAGAAATGGTTGTCTGATAAAGATCAGAGTAATAAAATGCTACATTATTCTAATGTTCCTTCTGTTAAGGTATGTGGTCTCACATGCACACACACTGACACAAGTACTTTATCACATTTAATCATCTTAACCTTTCGAAGATCGTTATTGAAGGAATAGAAAATGACATTTAGTTAAAAACAACAAAATTAGTTTAAGAAAGATTTTATTCATCCTGCTTTCTTTCTACCCTCATGATCTGTGAATGGTTTGAGATTTTACCCTGCTTGCAAACTAGCAAGTTACCCTGGCATAGTTTCATAGATATTGACAAAAGACCTGAGACTTCTGGGTCAGAGACAAAGGACTTTATTACTCACAACATAGCACACAGTATGAACTTCATATTTTCCTTGGTTCCTCTTGCATGTCAAGAAACTCAGGGGTAAGATAGAAAAGTACAAGTAGATGCTCTGTGCACAGTGAGTTTGTATTAAAGCTGTTGAACCCAAAGTTTAGGAAACTCCGTATCTTACAAGAGGCCTACTTGCAAACATGCCCAAACTTTGTTCACAAAGAAAATTGTGTATATATCATCCTGATTAGATAACAAATTTTCCTTCTGTCCTGGAAGAAGACATTATCTATAGCACAACAGACAGTATACAAACATGTGGAAAGAGAGGTTGGGACAAAAGCCTTCAGTATCTCTTCACAAGATGTGGAAACACCAAAGAATATTGTTTCTAAACACCTGCTTTATAGCATAAGCTTAGTAAAGTTTGAGATTTATGCATTTAAATGCTTAGAGTGCTGTCCCCTTTCTTTATCTCAGTCCATACAATCAGATTATAGCAAGAACAAGGAAAGTAAATAATCCGTTATCAAATCCATAAACTATCCTAATGATACCTTTAGTTTACACTTCCTACACTATTTTTCTTAGCTAATAGGTCTGGTAGCGTAGTGCCTAAGGAACTTGACTGCTAACCAGAAGGCTGACGCTTCAAACCCACCAGCCACTCCTTGGAAGGAAGGTTGGGCAATCTACTTCCATAGTGATACTGCCTCGGAAATCCAAAAAGGGGTCGCTATGAGTCAGGCCAACTCGACGGCACATAACAAAAGCAATAGATCATAAATGCTTGTTTCCTAAGTTTTCCTCTTTGAAAAATGAAAGTTTTATATAATTTTTTAAAGTCAATTTTCAGCATCATAATATTGAAAATTTATAATAAAATATTTGAGCTAATGTTAATGTATTGTTTAGATTTATTAATTAAAACTTATTTCAAATTGAAAATGAGCCAGGATCTGGTAGCTTCATAATATTTTAATATATTGATATATTTTATACATGAATTTTGAATAATAAAGGTGTGCTTATTATTCAAAACACACAAAAAGTGTGTTTTACTGATTACACATTAATCTCTTGTTTTGATATTCAAGCTGTGATGAATAGTACTTGCCACCATCTTTTTTTTTTGTTTGTTTTGGTACATCTTGTCATACAAGTTGCAGCATGCAGTTTGCTTATGTCATTATATTTGTAAGTTTATATATAATATTTCCAATCCCAATTAAAGATTGGATTTATAAAGATGCTAATAATAAAAGACAATAACAATGAAAACTAAAAAAAAAAAAAAAAAAAAAAAAAAAAAAAAACGAAGAAAAGAGAAA